TTATCTTTCTCCATCCTTTTACTTTTTTTTGGTACTGGGGATCGAACTCAGGACCTTGTGCTTTTGAGGCAAGTGCCGGGACCACTGAGCTAAATCCCCGGCCCCATCCTTTTTACTTTTAATTTATATGTCTTTATATTTAAAGTCAGTTTTTTGTAGACAACATATAGTTAGGTCTTGTTTTTTAATCTACATCTTTTAATTGGTATAGTTACCTTAGTGAATACAATGGACTTGGGGATACTACCACAATACATACTCATCATGCATTTTATGCAGATATTGCAGGCCAGTACACTGAACTCTATTCTAACCAAGGTTTACAAATTAACCGAGGTTAATTTGTAAAAAGCCAATGATATTTTCTTATTTCCCAGACATCCATTTTTAGTTCATGTTTTACAGAAGACACAGGTTTTGCCAAGCAGAAATGTACTTGTGTGGGATTTGGAAGGCAGAAATTAACATAGTGAGATGGAGGTTGTGTTCCTTTCATTTGTACTGTTTTGTCTGGCAAGCATGGTTGTTAAACTTCAAGTAGTAGAAAACCCACCTATATGGCTTAAACAAAAAGGAGCCTATTTTCCTTATATAACAAGAGGTTTGGATGGAGGCAATCACTGAATTGGTTTACCAGTTTGCCAATATCAGGATCAATTAGGATCTGTATATGTGCAATGCTTTTGGACTTTCCTTAATGGTTACAAGGCCATTCTGGAAGGTATAGCTATTACATCTGTATTCAAGGTAACACAAAACAAAATAGAAATGGGGAATAACAGCATCAATTATGCCTACTTCTTTTGATCAGGAAGATGAAAGCTTTCCTAGAAGTCCTCACAACAGACTTATCAGTAGATTTCACTATTCTTGCCAACTAGAACAAAATTAGGGTTCTGTCGGTAAGGAAGAAGTAGAGAGAGGTATGGGAGTACCCTAATCCATAGAATTCATGGCCTCTGTGCTTGAGGAGCTAATGAGAGCTTGTAGAGATAAAGTAATATGCATGGGTACTTGAATAATAACACGAGAGTTAAGAAAAGATACAAGGCAACAAAAATGTGACAGAGCTGACATTTTAGAGGAGATGGGGACTTTAAGCTGCTAATGCAGCCCAACTTCATTTTAAAGGCTTGTGTGTTTCAGTTGAAGCCTGTGGACAGACTGTTGCTTGCTGCACTGTGTGTAGCTGATACCACTTTCCAAGGCAGAAGTGTGTTTTGAGTAATTGTCCCAATGGACCTGCCTTCTGCAGGGTTGATGGGCAGGGAGTAGTGAACTTGAGTCCAGAAGAATGACAGATGGCTGTGCAGGCAGAGGTCTTTCTTGCTTCCCTAGCCCCAAGGGAAGTAAGATGAGCCCATTGCAAAGAGTCAAATTCAAGAGAGTTATGTCTTCTTTTGGTGGAAGCACAAACATTTGTTTAAACTTTTGACTCTACTCCTGAGCATTGTGACTTGACCCATTTATATTTGTTTTTTTTTCAGAATTAAATTTTATTTCACATTGACAGACACCATGAAAAACATTTACATTTTCTCACATTACAGCACAACATTTCAATGGAATATTTCTTGCTATAAATAAGATTTTACTGATTTATATAACTGAAATAAGTCTATGTTCTTCAAGGTAAAGCCAAATGATATACTAAATGATTGTTTAAAATTTTTAAATCCAGAAATAAGCATGGCTTCATTATAAATATCTTAGGTAGTCCATTACTATATTATTTTCATGATCAACTAGCACAATTAGGATGCATTCCTAACATTGTTTTGGTCAGTTGAAATACAGCAAAAAATTAACAGAGTTCAGAAATATCAAGCATACATTTTAAACTGTGTGGTAACTATACCATATTTATGGAGGAACCTTTTATTACCCATACATTTGTTTTCAAATAATTTTTTACTATTAATCTGGAAATACTGACTATTTAAAATCAAATGAGTGCTGTTTTTATGTTTGCACAAAAGACTAATTATAAAAAATAATTTGAAAATTTCAAATAAGACCACTGGCAGATAAAAATAGAGTGTTTTCTACAGTAGTTGGTTTCAAACATAACGTACAGAAAAAGTAAACTTACTGGGGCAAAGAGACTCAATAATTTTAGAAATTAGTTTTTAAGATCAGTCTTAAATATTTCTGTACATATCAGAATATGATCTAATTATTTTTTATTTGCTTACAGAAAAATAACAACAGATTTTATTGTTACTTGAATTGAAGATTTTAAATAACTAAATAAGTCTAAATTTGGACCAAAGTACTATTATTTGAAATACATAATATAAAAAGTTTAAGTAATTTCAGTTTCTTTTAAAGTGATGTAAATTTCAAATACCATATGTCTGTTTTTCAGAATGTCAAATTATAGCAAGTATTGACAGTAGATGTCTACAGGAGGGAGGCACTATGGCAGGGAGGGAATATATGAGGTTGGCAATGAAGGATAATCATGAAAGAAAACTTATTTTCTTGAGAGGAGAAAATGTTAAATAGAAATAATATCAGGGAAAAGTAAAACCTGGTCCCCCAAATAAAAGGGTCATTAAATGAAGACAGCAATATTACTGTTTATTAACAAAAGCATTATCGCTATTATCAAAAACAATATAATAATAACTAAGTCTTCATATTGCTATCATGTGTAATGAATACATATATAAAAATACAGACACTGCATGGTGAGTAAGCAATTTTGGAATAAATCCATAGACTAAGTCACAGCATGCATAATCGTTTATACCTAAACCGCTCATTTTACCTAAACAAATTTTCATTAAGCATACTGGTAATTTCCAAATAATGTAATAAAAAATCTAGTTGCAGTGTTTTATTATTTTGCTGAACTACGTTTGAGAAAAAGAACCTAGTTGCCTCACCTATTTTAATACTAGTATATTCTGGGTCACATTATATAAATACATGTATAGAAACTCAAAAGATCATAAATTTCCCACAAGGAAATGCTGTTTATTATATATCATTGACATGTATTTGGAAAACATTTTAACACTGTTTAACATTGCAAACATTAGAAGTTTCAAGACTGGACATAGGAAACAGTTTATACTCTACCACAGTGCTGCTGGTGTACTTCTAAACAAGGCCCTTAGTGATGTCACCAATTTGAGATAGGAGTTTATCAATGAATTGCTTGACATCCATTATTTCCTATTAACTTGAACTATGCATTGTACCATCATAGGTTTCAAAGGTTACATTGGCTGGATTATCAACGATTTTAGTTTTTTCAACAGTAGGGGAACGAAACATTAGGGGAGCGAAACATCAGGGGAGCTCAAGAGCCACAATCTCCATGGCACTGGAGAATAGAAATATCTTTGTGTGTGTGTGTGTGTGTGTGTGTGTTTGGTACCAGGTATCGAACTCAGGACCTTGCGCTTGCAAGGCAGGTGCGGCGCCATTAAGCTAAATCCCCAGCCCGAAATGTCTTTGTTAACACTGATAGGATCCTGTGGAAATGAAAGCAGAAGGGGAAGCTATCAAATAAATGTGAAACTTTGCCACTGTTTTTTTTTTTTTCATTCAATTCGTTATTTGAGATGGAAAAAACCTGGAGACCCCAGCTCTCCAAAATCCAGTAAAATGTATTTGGCTTAGCCAGCCAGGAGACTAGGTAAGGCCCTCTAGGCACATTTTTCGTTTCTCTCAAATGCTGTGAAGGTTTCTTTTTTTTCCTCTTCTTTCTCTCTCTTTCTCCCTTACGCTGGGAATCTGGGAGGCTTTTTCTCTTGGGGCCAGGATGAGCTTCCTGGTGTGTCCTGCTGTGTGGGATGGGGGACGGAATCTATGGCCTTTGTGTTTTTCTTCCAGCCACTTTTTTTCTTGCTTGTGCTCACTGTGCCGGTACAAGTGAAGTAGCCAGAGAGGCTGCTGTTGGATCATTTGAGGGCCATGCGTGTCATTTAGGGTTTGGTACACCTTGTTGTCCCTGCATTTGTTTGCCGTATTTTGCTACCTGTTTTGGAAATTAGCCTGATCTCCACCTACCCCAGTTTGCAAATGGATTTTTTTTTTCTTGGTTTACTCTTGGTCCAGGGCACCATGGTACCTTGCCATGTGGTCAAGTGCTATGTTGCTTTGTCATGTGGCCGGGAGCCATATTGTCTGGTCATACAGGTAGATGCCATCTTGTGTCAATGGTCACCATTTTTCCCTTTCCTTTTTTTTTTTTTTTTAACCAACTGGTCTTATGAGCTAAGCCTCTGATTTTAGAGAACAAGCGAGCTTCCTCTCTCTTTTCTTTTGAATTATTTTAACACACGCATGCACAAGAAGAGAAAAATATGTCTGTTTTAAATCCCTCATTCTTGCCTGGAGCAGCCAGCTAAGCAGCAGCAGCTGAGCTGGCTCTAGCTGACTTGACTTCCTCTGGGTCCTAGACCCCGCTTAGAGCTAGTGCTTCTTGGCTAGATCCCTTCCTTGTTTAAACGCAAGTAATTTAGAAACATATGCCTGATGGCCTGATCAGAACAAATGAACAATGTTTAAAACTTAACTAAAGTGACTGAGTATACAAAAGCAGAGCCATCTTTGTTCTTAGGAAAAAAAGGTTTCCATGTCTACTGCTTTAAGCAAAGTACCAAAGTTGTTTTTTTCACTGTCAGAATAAATGCAAGAGATATTTTTCCCAAATGGCCTCACTCTGCTTAAGTAAGAGCCATCGAGTAGCTCAACTGGGTGGCTAAGGGACCCTTGTTGGGTGGGGGAGGTTCTGCCCTGGTCTCATGGGAATCAAAGGACTAGGTAGTGCCACTAAGTGGCTCAACCCCTCTCCCTAAGGAGTTAATGGGCCTCAATATAGAGACAAAAAGCCCCAGTAGGGATTTCTTCTATGCTTTTGTGAAAGATGCCAGCATCATCTTAGGTTCTGAGAGAGACGTCTGTCTCACAAGGGACACTTTTTGGGACTTCTTCATGGGATGCCATCTTAAGGAGCCAATATCTAGTTGTTGCTCTTTCTACAGGACCCAGGATGAACCTCATGGGAAACCTCTTGGACCTCACCTTGCAGATTCTACCAACTTTGCTACTAGGCTGTAACCTTGATGAATGGAAAAGGTTTGACCCTGACAATTTAAAAAAGGAACAGCTTTATCTACTATTGCAACATGACTTGTGTTCAGTATGAACTGGGAAATGGTGAAGGATGGGTATGGGGTGGCACTTTAAGTTATGAGACTAGTCTTTAGTTATAGTGTTTCTGCTTGAAACATAAGAGGTGGAATGAAAATCCCCTTTGTTCAAGCCTTTGTGACCTTTTGTCACAAGGAAGACCTAGAAACTATGGTTCTCAGTGTTGGTCTCAGCTGCTGACATATTGAACATTCAGCAGTGGCTGTAACCAGATCACCCTTTGTGGGTGGAAGTCCATGTTGCTGAGTTCCTATGTAACCTTCATCCGTGCCACCATGGCCACTTTGTTCATGAGCCCATTGAGCAGTGATGGGGCTGGCTGAAGAAAAAGATTGACTGTTATCCACAGAACGGGTCATCCTATCCACTGGATTATTTAAGTCTTCTTCTGCTGAGATCACCTTTGGTGAGCATTTATGTGGAACACAAATATCTTTATGTTCTTTGTCTAAATGGAGAGGTCTAGTCATATACCTCATTCCCAAATATCTTTGTCACCAGTTTTCTAGTCACGTTCCTTCCAAGTCCCTGACCATCTGGCCAGACCATTGGCTACAGCCCATGAATCAGTATATAGTTGCACATCTGATCATTCTTTTCTTCCTAGAAAAATGTGCAATCAGGGGCACTGTCTTAATCTGTGCCCAGTGTGAAGATTTCTCTTCACTACTGTTCTTCAGGGAAGTCCTGGAAATGTGATAGCTGTCCACTTTCAGGTGGTAGCTTCATAACATGCAGAGCCATTTGTAAACCAGGACCTAGTCTTCTCTTCCTGTGCCAATTGATCATGTGATATTCCCCATGAGGCCGTAGGTATATGCTGGACAACAAAAGGCAGTATAGCAGGAGTAGGAACCATGGGTTTTTGGGCAACTTCTTCATGTAAGTTACTTGTACTTTTCAAAACTGTTCAGGGTTGATTGTGTATTTACTACTTCCATTTCATGGTGGACTGTTGCTGTGCATGTTTAAGTTTATGACTTGGAGGGTCAGATAGTACTATTTCATGATGGGCAGCTCAAGTTGCATGGTAACCTGGTGTCCTATGGTCAAGCTTTCAGTTTCCACTAAGGCCTAGTACCAGGCGAGGAGCTGGTTTTCAGCAAGAGTACTTGTCTGCAGATAATTGCAGAGCCATGCTCCAAAATCCTGAAGTTTGCCACTGTGATTCACCTATGGGAGCCTTCCAGAGGCTCCAAATAGCATCACTGTTTGCCACCAACATGTTAAGTACCATTGGATTATGAGTCAGTCAGTAAATGGGCCAGAATAACACAGATGATTAGCAGAATTAAAGGGTGTAACACACAGAAAAAGTCCCTTGAATTTTAACAGTCAAGAAGAGTATCTCTAGACATTGAGAAAAACCATACAGGGAGAAATGTTAGGGAAAAGAAGGACACATTTATTAAATATCAACTCAATGGAGCACTTGGCTCGTTTGTTTGTTTTAAGGTCTTGCCATTGTTTAAATGGCTAGCTCTACCCTCTCTCTTTTTTTTTTTTGAGATTGTTTTGTATTCTGCAACATCTATTCTTCTTTTTTTTTCTTTATTAAATTCTTTTATTGGTACACTGTAGGTATACAACACAATTACATTTCTCATTGGGAATTGTACCTTTACATAATGCATCTTGGTTCTTATTTTTCCCCATTGCTAGCCCTCCCTTCACCCCCTCCTCCCTTCCCTATTTACAAAGACTTTAGTTCCATTTTTTCCATTTCTCAGCATTTTTCCTTTCCCTTCTTTCCTTTCCCCTGCCCCTCCCACTACCCCTACCCCTTTGGACCTTTGCTTCCTATTTTGCATTATTGATTATTCATTCTAATCATTGGTACATTTTAGGTATACAATAGAATGACATTCATCATTGGAAGTTTGCACCTTTCCATTGAAAGTCTACCCTCTCTCTTAAGACTTAAGATTGCATGTCACTAAGGGGAACAATTCACATCTTTGTAAGGAGCATGGAAAACTCGGTCCTGGGGATATACCCACCTTTTCTGGAATTTTGCAGAGCACTTTCCATCACTTGTGATGACCCACTGCTTCTTGCGCCTACATTCTTACCCATGTGAATTCCATTCTCACCTACTCAAGTCCCATTTGTCTCTGCCCTCTGACTTTTTTTTGGGGGGGGGGTACCAGGGATCCAACTCAGGCCCTTGCACTTGTGAGGCAGGTGGTGGCACCACGGAGCCAAATCCCTGGCCCTGCCCTCTGGCTTCTGATAAGAGAGCTCCCTGTCTACCGTTTTATTCATTTGGAACAGAGTTCTTTGGCTTTACTCACCTTTCCTTTTGCTGCAAGCTTAGCCCCATGGCTAACAGGCCCCTTCCTGTTTCTGTCTGAAATAGGGAGCAGTCAGGGCTCTCACCAGGGGAGACCACTCAGATATAGCCTTATAGACACAACTGTGTTGAACCTTCAGAGTTTTGGGTAGTGTGCTCTAGATAGAAGTTAAGTACCATTCAAATGAAAAAAGTGAACTGTTGGGGTTGACATGTAATTTTGTGGATCAAGTCATGCTGAACCTCCTTCATTTGTTCCCTCTCTGGATGCACTCAGGCAGATCTCACCAGATAAAGGAGGAGACCAAGTCAGACAACAAGGAAATTATCCACATCAAACCCTCTGTTGCGAGTTCAAAATGGTTGGATGCAGTGCTTTTCTTATAGCAGAAGTACTATGGGGGAGGGGAGTTGCATGCCTGCATTGGTGAGCTATTATCAAAATAATGCTATGTAACACGTCGTTCCACAATTCAGTGAATTAAAACAATAATCTTTTATCCTGCATTCATGGTCCTTTGGGTCACTGACAACTTAGTTGGGCTAGCATGCTGTTCTAGCCACTACGCTACAGACAGGATTCAAGTCAGCTCCAAATATTTTATTCTGTGGCTCATGTCAAAATGCCAGCAGCTACCTGGAGTATATTCTTCTTATGGTGAGTTATCAGAACACAAAAGAGCAGCCTAGCCTTACAAGCATATTTCAAGCCTTTGTTCATGTTGTATAGTACAGCCTAAAGTCAGGAGGTAGATATAATCTACTTTCTATGAAGCTATAGTAAGATGGTAGATACTTCTACTAAAAGAGAATGACAAATTTGGACTAATATTTCAAAGTAATTTGTACCCTATAATAATGTTGACATATATTTCTTCCAGTAAATTTTTGTTTCTGCTTGGGTTTCTCAAGTAGTCAAAGTAATGTCTGTATCACTGGGACCAGAGAAAATGGGAAGAATGTTCAAGAAAGGAAGAGCTAGACCAGCGCATGTTCCATGATTCTAAGCCTTTCTAATTCTCGTAGAGATGTTGCTATGTGTGTTCATGCATTTTGTAAAGAAATGCAAAGAAGGACATGAAAGTTGCAAAAGTGCTTTAGCTTCTAAAAAGAAAGATCCTCTAAATCTGAAAGATAGACCAATGCTTAAAGCCTTAAAAGCAGTAAAAGGTATGCAAATGCTGTTTTTAATTTTTTTGGCTAAGCAGTGTTTTTAAAAGGAAAAGTAGGTATCATTAGCTAAGATGTTACAAAACTATCAACTAGAAATTTTATTTACAGCTGTCAAGTCCCTTGACTAATTTACAGAGGTGAATGGGAGAAGAAATTGCTGGCTGTACCAATATTTTTGGCAAATTTTGACTTACCCTTTAGTAGCCACTGATTAACAAAGTTAGCACTATTAAAGGGTACTAGAAAGGGGAGGGTGGAAAAAGATTGGTTAACAGGTACAAAGACACAGCTAAATAGGAGGAATAAGTTCTGGTGTATTACTACATGAAAAATTAACTAAAGTTAACAATATGGAATCATATATATCATAATGGCTAAAAGAGGATTTTGAGTATTCTTATCAAAAGAAAAGATAAATGTTTGAAATGGTGGGTCACTTAAATATTTTAAGTTGATCACAATATTCACATGTACTGAAATATTACAGTGTACCTCAAAAATACTGTTTGTACAATTATTGCCCATCAATTACAATTAACTAATTAATTAAAAACCCTATGACTATCCCCTATTATTGGAGGAAAATAAAAGAAAAACAAGGAAGCCTGAGAATGTTAGTGATGCTAGAAAATAAGTCTTTCTTTCTTTCTTTCATTTGTTTGTTTGTTTTCAGGTGTTTTATAGCAACTACATGTGGCCCAGAACTTTGGGATATTCCTGTCCTGTCTGCATTCCAGCCGTGTCAAGATCTTGCTTCTGTTTTTCATGAAAAGAGCTCTGTGCTGTTTACATGAGCTGCAGCTTGACCCGCAGCTGTACAACTTTCTTCTTCTATTGTCTCAGGTCAAGATGAATTACAGACAGAGCCTTGACCATAAATATTTAATGATTCTTATCTTCAAAGCATTGTGCAAGCACACTTAGTCTTATTTTGAAGTGCTGAGTAGGCATCTCCGATCTTCTTTTATGACATAGTTTCTTTTTTAAATGCTAGTCGCACCCTTTATTCTGAATCCTTAATACAAGGCTGAGTTGTCTTTTTATAATAGCTTTATTAAGATATAACTCATATAATCATAAAATTTACCCTTTTAAAATGTAGTGCTCAGTGGTTTTTAGTATTTTTGGAGTTGTGCAACCATTGCCACTCTCTGATCTTAGAATACTGTCTTCATCACTCTGAAACGAAATTGATTTTCAGTAACTCTCCATTCTGCCTCCCTCACCCTATCTGACCTAAAGTACCTGTGGCAGACACTAATCTATTTTCTGTCTTTATACCTATTCTGAACAGTCTCACATGTTTCTACTTGCCTTCTTTCTCTGCTACCTGCCTCCATGAGAAGAGCATCCCAGGGATTGTCCACTTATCCCAGAAGGTGAATGAAAGACACTTGGAAATGGAACAGAACTTTTCACCTCAGACAAGAGCAACTGCTTCGCAAATTACTCAGAGTAGCTTGAACTAAATAAATCCTTGCTGTTACATTCCACTGAGCTCTTGTGACCATTTGTTATGCAGTGATAGCTTACTAATACAATGGCCATTGTTAGCAACTCAGTTTTCCATCTTATGTTTTCACCATCCAAGAGAGATGGGGACAACTAGTGTCTGGTTCCAGCTAAGGGCTCTGATTGACCCATCCCTAATTATAAGTTAACAGGTTAGCCTGGCATAGTTTCATGGAAGTAAGCCAACAAAATGTGGCCATGAAGTGACATGGAAGTGAAGACATTATTGTCACTGTTATGTGAAGGAGTGGGGACAATTGCTGAGAAAGGAAGGGGTGCTGGACACATAGAACATGCAGTCATGACCTAGGAGGGACAATGAGGTGCTACCCAAGCAGAGTGCAACTATGTTCTTGGCACGTTTTACTTATGTCTGTTCAGTCATCAGGGAGAGAGCGAGCGAGCGAGAGAGAGAGAGAGAGAGAGGACCGAATAATGGTAATTTTTCCTGGGATGAAAGTGAAGTGTGTGTGTGTGTGTGTGTGTGTGTGTGGCTATTGGAGATAAGAATCTCTGGTTAAAGGGTGGGCATGGTGGCTCACACGAATGATCCCAGCACTGGGGAGGCTGAGGCAGGAGGATCGCTGCGAGTTTGAGGCCAGCCTGGGCTACACAGTGAGTTCTAGGCCAGCCTGGACTACATAGTGTGACCCTGTCTCAAAAAACCAAAACCAAAACAAACGAACAACAACAAATATCTGCTGTTAACTCGGCCTAAATTCCAAGTCATCACTCAAAAGGTTTAAGTCATTTGCTATACTGAATGTGATTCTATGTATTTTTGAACAGCTGTTTATTTTAAACTATATATAATAGTATACATTGTATAATTACTCATACTTCTTCCTGTATAATATTGCATTACAAAACCATATGTACTATACTTAATGGGAAGTTTAAGGAATTTTCAAGTGCAACTGTCCATTTCCATACCTGCATTAAGAAGCTTTTTCTCAGAAATTACATGTGTCTCAGAAGGGTGGAAGACAGGACCTGAGTGAGCAAATATTGCTTTTTATCATTTGGTGAAACAAAGGCTTAAAGTAGAAATTAAGTAGAGTTTTGGAAAAATATTTTTTAAATTCAAATGAGTTTGTGAGTTGAGATTCACACTACAACTCTACCCTTGTTAGTCTCACATGTTATTATAGAAAATGCAGTTGAGGTAGAAAGGAATATTAGATGGTAGTGACAAAGAATGAATTAGTGCTACACGGAACAGCAGATGAATCTTACAAATATAATGTTGAATGAAAAAGATTCATAAGAGCGTTTAGTATATGATCCTGTTTATATTAGGTTTCACACCAGGAAAAACTAATCAATAATGTTAGAAATGTTAGAATGAGATAAGGAAACAGAACTTGGGCACTGGCAGGATACCTGAGACAGTTTTGCATCCTGGATTCTCTTCCAGCTGATTGAGGTCCATGGGAGACAAGGATGGAGGTGTCAAATCATCCAGAGCAGAACCTGTGTGCCAGTCCCTGGAGACGGTCTAGAAATTCAGGGGCACTTGGGGACTTGCACACATCAGAAGAAATATCTGAGTAGGTGAGTGTGAGGTATTGCCACTAAACCCTCTGTGCTGTTCACAGCTGGGTAGGAGCATCAGAGTATTCTGGCACAGGTAGCGGTGGCATGGATATGGTCCAGAAGGTTGGCAGCCTTGAAATGTTTTTGTTTTCTGGGCAAGGATGGCCCAGCACTGCCCTGCTAGACTCAGTCATATTGTGCAGATGGTGGATCAGTTGGCCCTGACAAGATGGCACTTTTAGCCATCACAGAATTTTCTGGAGAAGCCAGCTCTTCATCCTTTCTTTTAGACTTTAAAATCTTCATAAAAATGCTATGGACCTACAGAGAGTAGTATATTTGAGCTCAGGATTCTAGCAGAATCATGGACTTGAAAACAGTCATGATTTCTTGCCATGGATTACTTCTGCTTCTCCCTGTGTCCTTTCTCTTTGGTAATGACTGGTTTTTCTCTCCTTCTTAGTCTACATAGAGGAACATGCTACCAGCTGGACCAAAGTTTTAAATGTGAAAATGCAAATCCAGGAAAAGAGATCTATCCCTCTTCCGAAGCCCAAAGTGAACATTTTCAAGGGGATAAGATTGATTAGCCTACACTGGGATGGTGCTCTCTGAATCGATAGCTTGTAGCTAGAAGAACAGGATAATACTGTACAAACTATGTGGCTTGATTTTTTTGACAAGGGGAAGGCAAGATCTACAAAAGTAGGACAAGTGGTGGGACCAACAATGTGAGTTCAGGGTGGTCAGTCCTCTTTGGCTTCTTTTCATGGCTGCTGAGAAAGAAGATGGAACAGGTTCCCTGAGCCCTCATCCAAGGAAGTAAGAATTGATTACTAGCTTAGCCATTACTTTACCTTGCTTGCAGACATGTCCTCCTTTGAACTCTCTTTGTTTTTCTTTATCTATCTCCAGCCTGTAGACAAAGAAGCTCTGCTGAGGCTCCCAAGTGAAAGGTGCTGTCCCATTTTACAAAAGCCTTAGGACCAGTCCTCAGAACACTTTGGTCCTTTGCCATCCGAGAGCAAGTACACGGAGGTGTCTTGAGGCGTTAAGCGCCAGCTTGCAGAGATAGTGAGGTATATTTTAGAACCCAAACTGCTGTCAGGGAACATATGGATTTTGTTATTTCCATCCTAGCAGCTTTCTCTCCATGGGTTTTGACATATGAATTTCAAAAGGAGGGAGTGTTTTCCTGATTGACACCTCAGAAATACTCTTTGTGGCAAAATCACAAATATTTCCAGATCTTGCTGGGCATGGAGATGGCTGAGCTGCTGGAGACATTCTATCAGTGTCACTTGACACAGCGTGTGAGGTCAGGCAGGGGTGAACACTGTTGGCTGGACACAAAGGTTGAGCATTATCTGCTCTGTGGGGGGACACATCACACTCAGCCAGCTCAGGAGGGAGACTGACACATGTGGGTCATTGCACGGAGTCTTTTCTCCCTGGCAGAGCAAAGCAGGCCTGACATTCCCGGAAGAAAATGACACTGAAAGCAGTCAGACAAAGGCCAGGCAAGCATTACCAAGGCTTTCTGGAAAAAGCTTTCTTCGTGGACTCACGCCAATCATTACTTTACTTACCTTAACTAATTCATTTCTTGTTTTTGTTCCTTAATAAAAGAAAGGCAACTGTCATTTATTGAATTTTTTGTGGGCTAGGATTGGTAGTGTGCAAGAAATGGCTTGGCCAAGCTCAGGAGAACCAACTGAACAATTTCCAGGAATCCTGCAAGATAACTGTTAAACACAAGCCATTATTAAAAATTAAATTATACTAACATATAATTAAACTGTGTTAGAACAGAGGTAATAAATACTCAAAACTCATCACATTCTAATTATTTTACTACATTGTACTGTTGTGCTCATGAACTTATTTGTATCTACTGCATCTGTATGTTGGAAATACTGTAAAATAACTTGCTACTGTGCATCTCTGTGAAAATTGGCCGTAGTGGGAGGAACTAGCAAATGTTACAAATCTGGGCCGGTTTTAAAAATTGTTTTCATCCTTCAAGATAATGACAACAGTGGAGAAAATGTTAATAATACAGATTAAATTAAAAATGTATGTTTGTAGCTGATACACTATCAGCTACAAAAATTTTGGAAAATAGTATTTGAAACTCATTCCTTGATTTGGTAAAGAAGTTGTAGTTGTTCATGTCATTGACCCATGACCGAAATTCTGACATTTTCATCTCATTTTTATCTTTTGAATGTTAACAAAAATATCAAACAACATATCTGTGTCACAGCTATACTCATTTGTCAGTTGCAGCCATAGGTTGGCTGTGGATGCAACAGTTCAACAATTCCTTGAAAGCATTTTGTGAGAATTAACTGGCTAAATGAAATTTACAATAATGAATATAGTATATCTCATTATTAGTAGTGAATTATGCGTGACATATCTTTTTATCAGTAGAATTTCCATAAACATTTATGAATACTCACACATTTTTGAGGAGGGGTAATTATTAGCTATTGTTACCTTTGCTATGAATATACTTCCCTCTTTACCTTGTCTTCCAAGACCCAATTCAAAGTCTGATCTACCCCTTCTTTCTGGTCCTATGTTGCAGCCCTTGTTACCAGTGCATTAGGGTTTGGGAAGTTCCCTGTACTTTCTAGAATAAGTAGAGTGGAAGAGCAGGAACCTTGAATATTCAGCTCTGAACAAGTTAGAGCTGTGCTCAATGCTTGATACCTAGGAGTTGTCCACAAGGTGTGGGTTGAAAGAGAGAGCAAGAACCCTGGGCAGAAGTGGGGAGAAAGAGAAAAGAAAGTGGTCATGTACGTAGAAAAGGGGCAGTGGGCAGTACTGCTACCTGCCATGTAGGTTGACATACTCAGGTGTGTTTGCTCACTGCTGACCAAATCAAAGGAGGCCATTTATTTTGGTAAAAAAGAAAAAGGATTTATTCAAAGCTAGCTCTAAGGAAATGGAGGTGCCCTTTTGCCTCCAACCCCAAGCTCACTGTGTACAGGTGTGAAGGGACAGGGAGAGGGAACACAGAGATAATGCACATCTTCACCCTTGCTTTGTGGCTTCAGGCATCTTCAGCTCCTTCTCTACTTTCTTGTAGAAAGGAAACTGGGCCCTGGCCTCCATGGGGCTGGTATCTGCAATTTTGTCACTTTTGGGGGGCAGACGAGAGAAGGGCGTGTTGGTTATGTGCTCAGTAGGAGATGTGTGGAGAAATGTAGAGAAGTTGCTTATCTCTAAAATTAAAAAATTATAATTTAAAGTTCCATTTTGTGGTGCCAGTTACAATAGTATAGAGCACATTTTGATATTTAAGTTTACTTAGGGTTCCTGCAGTCTGTATCGAATGCAGCAAGTTTTGGCTGATCAAACCACAACACTGATAAACTGGATTTGTTTGGAAATGACCTAGACTTTACAAGAGCAAGACAAGTCACCAGCTAATCAT